CCGTAATCTCGTTTGACTCTATTATTTCTCGTTAAATTATAATTTATTATCAATCACACATTTTTTAATAAAATAATATTACACATAAATTCAAAAAAAATCATTTTCTTTTAACCACACATTCTTCAAAAAATAACAATTCCTCTCATTATAATGTGGATTACTGGGTTAGGCCGCAGACGCTTAATTCCAAAAAGTAAGCATTTTCTTTATTTATTACATTAATTTTTTAATTTTGAACTAGAAACATAGGTAATTAATAAGCCTCTGCTTGTATACCATTATTCACATTTTTTTCTTCTAAAACTCATTTTAACCACACATTCTCAAAATAAAAAATAAAGAGAACAATTCACAAATACTCTTGGAAAGTTTATTAATTTCGTACTATTTTTAAATATTTTCTCAAAATACAAATTATTATTATTTGCAATAAGTTATATAACACAATTCAATTTACGTTGTCGTTGCCACAATTACTGTTATCATCGCTTGTAACACAATGCGTTACATGTATTTTATCACATATTTTCACCATAAGCCACAATGCAAACACCAATGCAGCGTCGCTACAACAATCGTACCACCATTCAATCAAATTCTCACACCGACCACAAAAATTAATTTAGAAAACCAAAAACAGAAAAAGGCCAATCACGCCACTCCCAACACAAACAAAAACAAAATCTGTACAAACAATTTTCGATCATTTCAAATATGATTTCAGATATGCATTTGGGTTGAAGGAAAGTGAAATAGTCCGTGGCAGATATTCTCCAAACCCGTGTTCTAAAACGTGGCTCAATGCGCCGCGTAGGCGCGAGCAGGTACGACGCGTGGTCGAAACGCATCGCATACCCTGAATGCGTGTAAAAATGCGGTCAAGCCCAATTGACTTTTAAAAAAAACGTTTTGTCAATTCCTTTGATGGGCTCATCAAATGCATAGACAAGCCCCATTCGTGAGCTCAGTGGTGCACTATTTTATAAAGGATTATTTTCCCACTAATTTAGTCTACATCCGATGTGGGATATGATTTTTAAACCTACAGCTACAGACGCTTCCAAAACTACTTCTCTCACCAGTAACCTCGTGATTTGGTGATTAAAACTGCCCAAAAATTCGCCCACATTCCCGCTACCAAATGCCACCGGACATTGGTACCGGTGGACAGCCCTCCATCCCATCTTCAAGTAGCAACCAACACCTTCCAATTTCATCAAGTATTCTGGCCGGAATCACTCCCCAAAGTTAGCAGCGGATTC